ACTCGACCCCACTCCCCTCCCAGAGCTGGGATAGAACCCAGGAGTCCTGACCTCTGACCTCAGAGCTCAAGCGCGGGGCTTCCCCTCCCCTAGAACTACAACTCCCAGGCGTCTGTGCGAGGCCGGCCCCGCCCCTGGGGCCTCGCGCCCGCCCGCCCGCGCGCGGAACATGGAGCTGGCGGAGTTCGAGCGGGATAACGCGGGCAGCTGCCGCCTGGGCTCCCCCGTGCCCGAGCTGTGCAGGGCCGGGCCCTGCTGCCTGGGCATCGATGAGGCCGGCAGGGGGCCCGTGCTGGGTACGGGGCGGGGCCCAGCATTGCACGGGGGGCAGGGTGGGGGACCCCCCAGCATTGCACGGGGGAACCCCTACATTGTATGGGGGGAGTGGCCGGGGAGAGCCCCCATCATTGCATAGAGCAGGGACCCCCCAGCATTGCACGGGGGGAGGGGCCGGGGAAACCCCCAGCATTGCACGGGGGGCTGGGCAAGGGGACCCCCCAGCATTGCACGGGGGGAGGGGCCGGGGAAACCCCCAGCATTGCACGGGGGAACCCCCACATTGTATGGGGGGAGGGGCCGGGGAGAGCCCCCATCATTGCATAGAGCAGGGACCCCCCAGCGTTGCATAGGGGTGGGGATAGGGGGCCCCCATACTGAGCGATAGGGGAGGGGCCCTCCCTATCTGTGCTCCTGAAGGGGGAGCCCCCGGTCCAGTGAGGAGGGGGTGATGGGTGGGGGAGCGCAAGGCATCTCACAGGATTTCCCCCCACACCATTCCCTGCCGGGGAGGTGGGTCCACCCGCCCTGGGAGAGAAGAGCTTGGAGCCCCATAGCTGGCAGGGGGGTTAGACGAGCCCGGCCCAGTTACCCCTCTCCCCATAGCGCGGTCAGGGCTGATTCCTCCTCCCCCAGTGCTGTGGGAGTTGCGGAGGAGGAAGCTCTTGCACCGGCTGGATCGGGTTCGGCTGCCCCCCCATCCGTGCCCCTGCCCCCCCCCAATCTGTGCCTCTGTTTCCCCTCCCAGGTCCCATGGTCTATGGTGTTTGCTACTGCCCATTGGCCAAGCAGGAGGAGCTGGGAGCTCTGAAGATGGCGGGTAAGGACAAGGGCATCGGGGGTGGGGGGGGGGGGGCTCAACGTTCCTCCCGGCCTCCCGGGGCCCCCCCGTGGGGGCGGGGCCCCGAGAACACCGACAGAGGGGGGGGGGGGGGGGGTCTGGAGCAGGGCCGGCTCCAGGCACCGGCCCACCAAGCATGTGCTTGGGGCGGTGCCTGGAGGGGGGCGGCGGGGCGCTCCGGCCCGAGAGCGGGGCCGCGACTGGGCTCGCCGCCCTCCCCGCAGCGCTCCGGCCGCCGGGGAGAGCGGGGCCGTGGTGGGCTCGCCGCCCTCCCCCCGGCGCTCCAGCCGGTCAGGGATTGCAGGCCCAGGCTCGGCGCCCTCCCCTGCCGCAATGGGGGCTGCGGAGGGGGTGGCTGGTGGCTTTTTTGCCTAGGGCGGCAAAAAAGCCAGAGCCGGCCCTGGTCTGGAGAGCTGAGGCTGGGGGGATGGGGCTGCAATGGGATGGAGAGGAGGCAGGGGGGATATGGATCTGAGTGGGGGGAGGAGAGCGGGGGCAGGGGATGGGGACAGCAGGGGGGGTAAGGGCCCCATAGAGGGAATGTTGGATCATGAGGGTGTTCCCCCCTCCCCAGATCTCGCGGAAGCCGACCCTAGTGTCCCCCCTTCCTCCCCCCCTCAGACTCGAAGACGCTGACAGAGGCCGAGCGGGAGCAGCTGTTTGGGACGCTGGACGGGGCCAGGGACTTTGTGGGCTGGGCCCTGCACATCCTCTCGCCCAACCTCATCAGCACCAGCATGCAGCAGCGGTGAGAGCCCCGGGTCACCGGCGCCCCCTAGTGGGGACAGGCCCCGTGTCCCATTTCCTCCCTGAGCCAGCCAGGCCCTCCGCCTGGGGCCAAATCAGCCAGCGCCCCCCAAAGGGAAAAGGCCCCGTGTCCCCCTTCCCCGCTCCTATTAACCCTAGGAGCCGGAGCCCTGGGTGGGTGAGGCAGTTGGAGAGTCTTGAGGGGGTTGTTCTGTGTCTGTGCAGCGCCTGGCGCAGTGAGGCCCGGGTCTCTGGCTGGTAAATACTAACCCCTCTCCTCTCCTGGCCAGGGCGAAATACAACCTCAACGCCCTGTCCCACGACACGGCCATCGGGCTGATACAGCACGTGCTGGACGCGGGAGTGCAGGTGGCAGAGGTGAGCCGGCCGCAGTCTTTCCCCCCCCGCCTCAGTTTCCCCATGGGGCAGATTTCTGTCCGCAGGGTGCCCCGATCACAGGCTTAGCCAGGGTTGGCAAAGGGGACCGCTGTGGGCATAGCGCTGACATGCACCCTTGCTCCCCCCACTTCCTGCCAGCCTCCCCGTGCCTCAGTTTCTCTATACGGCAACAGGGCAGCTGCTTCCCCACGTGGTGCCCTGATCCCAGCACAAGTTGTAGCGGGGGCGGGAGGGGACCTGACACCACCGCCCTCACATCTCTTGCGGGGTCCCCCCATGCCTGGCAGGTCTTCGTGGACACGGTGGGGCCGGCAGAGAAGTACCAGGAGAAGCTGAAGCGGCACTTTCCGGAGCTCGAGGTGACCGTGAGGCCGAAGGCTGATTCCCTCTTCCCCATCGTCAGCGCAGCCAGCATCTGTGCCAAGGTGAGGCTTTGGGGTCCCCCCTCTTCAGGGGGCCCGGTGGGGAGTGGGCTGGATCTTGCTGTGTGCTTAGGAGTCACCAGGCCCCCTGCCCTCCTTGGGGCACTGGACCTGGGCAGGTTTGCGGAATATGGAGACACCCAGCTCCACTTACCAGGGTGTTATTGGGATCTCCTGGGCGAATTAATGAGGGTGTTCCATTGGGCCTCCCTCAATCGGCGCCACACTGGGGGATTCATCCTCACTTCCTGTCCCAAATGCTGCATGGCCGTTCAACAGCCATTGCGCCCCTCCCCAGAGGCGGCTGCATCTCCGCGCCAGGCGACGGATCCCTGTAGAAACAGCTAGGGGGCGATGTTCCTAGCGGCGCTGCCCTGAGCTGACTCCTGTCTGTGTTGGCAGGTGGCGCGGGATCGTGCTGTGAAGAACTGGACGTTCCCGGAGGATCTGGGGGACGTGCGGATGGAGTATGGGTCTGGGTACCCCAATGGTAAATGACCCCCCTCCCTGCCCCCTGTGAAATCTCAGGGTCAGTGATAGGTCTGACCACAAGGTGGAGCTATTTGCTTATCTAGGAGCTGATGATAAACAGATGCTGCCCCATGGGCCCATCTAGCCCGGTATCCTGCCCCCTTCCTAGATTACACCAGCCCCGTCTCTCTCACCCGGCTCCTACTGGCCAGTTGTGTTCACTTTCGCTCACCAGAGGGCGCCTGTGACCTGGGATCTTATCCCGTCTTTCCCTGGATCCTTCCGTCCTGGCTCTTGCATTGCCTAGGGGTGGGGGCTGCGCTGCCAGGCTCCGAGCCCCCTCGGCCTTGGCCTGCCTTTAACCCCCTCGGCTGCATCGGGCTGGATTTCTGCTCTGCCTTCCGGAGACCGAGACGGAAGCTAAGGGACGTGCTGAGGTTGTGGGGGACGGCAGTGGTGGAAATGGGGGTAGAAGCCAGGAGTCCTGGCTTCCAGCCCCCCTGCTCTAATCACTAGACCCCCCCCTCCCAGAGCCAGGGATAGAACCCAGGAGTCCTGACTGGTTGGAAAGCTGTCAGGTACCCCGTTTGCAGTCAGGGACATGGGGTGGGGAGAGCGTCCGTGGCTGGTGCATTCCCCCCCCCCCCCAACTCCCCTCCCCCCCCCCGCTCCCCATCCCCCAGATCCCAAGACCAAGGAGTGGCTGGCGCAGTGCCTGGACCCTGTGTTCGGGTACCCCCAGTTCGTGCGTTTCAGCTGGAGCACGGCCCAGACCATCCTGGAGAGCAAGGCCGTGCCCGTGCGCTGGTAGGTGATTTGGAGGTGGGGGGGGGGACTGAGGGTACCAATCTGTTAGATCCCTACAGGGGGCCTGACCTCAGACTGACCCCTCCCCCCCATGGTTGGGTCCCTGCCCCCCACCTGACAGCGATGGGCTCTAACAAGCTCCCGGGCCCGCGGGCACCGTCCATAGCAGCTCAGAGGAGCTGGCTCCAATGCCAAGCGACGGCCCTGCCACCCCCGATTACGCCCCTGCTGCCCCCTGGGCCCTGCCAGCACTGACTCGCCATGGGGGGAAGGGCAGCACGGCATGCTGCTGTCGGGGGCCTTCCACCGCTGTCCCCCCTGGCATGCTTAGGGGTGCTGGGCGCAGCTCCCTTCCTGCTCTGGGGTCCCCTCACCACCCACCGGCTCGTCCTACATCCATGTGTGGGATGGGGAACCCCGGGGGCTGCACAGTTCAGTGCCTCCCATGCCTGGCGCCTCCCCTTCCCAGGCACGACCTTGGCAGCTGGGTGTGGATCCCTCCCGAGGAGAGAGAAGGCAGACGAGATGAGGGTTATGGACTCTGCACCCCCTCAGACTCCGCATAGAGGGGCCCTGCCCCATGCGGTTTCATTATCGTCCTGTGCAGGCTCACAGCCCCCACGCCCCACCCCAGAGGTGGCTGCATCTCAGCGCTGGGCAAGGGATCCCTGTATAAACAGCCCCTGCGCCCCACCCCAGAGGTGGTCACCTCTCGGCGCCAGGCAAGGGGTCCCTGTATACACAGGACCAGAGTAGACACCAACTGAGCCCAGCACCCCTGGCCGGCTCTGCCCATCTCATCCCATCCCTCCCCTCCCAGCCCGCCCTGGCACCTGCCTCCGCCCTGGCACCGTCTACGTGTGTGGGAGAGAGCTGAGCGTTAACGGGTGTGGCTGCCAGGGCCCCGTTCATTTCTTATTCCCTCCCCAGGGATGACAGTGAGGATGACCCCGCTCAGAAGGGCACCCGCTCCGTCCTGTCCTTCTTTGCCCGCAAAGAGTCTTCCAAACGCCAGCCCCACCGCTTCTTCCACGAGCGCAAGCTGGAGACAGTGACTGGGCTGTAGCGGGCACCAGGGGGGCGGAGGGCTGGCCCCTGCCCCCCCCCCCCGCCACCCCCCCGCCCCCCCCCCCCCCGCTAGCCCCATGGCCCCCTCAAGTCAGCCCAGCTTGACTTAGAGCCAGAACTTTTGACGCGCAGCGTCTGGGGTTGTGTTTAATGGTGATGCCAGCTGATCTGAGCCGCCCTCTCCAGGGGCCGGGAGGAGCCCAGCTGTAAAGGGGGCTTTTAGGAACCAGATGCCCCAGTCTCGCTGGCGCCTCCTTGCTGTGGATTCCCCTCCCCCCCAATTTTCCCCACTTTTGTTTTAGTTAATAAAACATTTTGAAAAGTCTCTGAGGTTTGTAACAGGTCCGTCCCCTGCCCCCCATGGCGTGTCCTGCTGTGTCCCTGAGCCCTGCAGCCACCTCTGGGGTGGGAGCTGATTATACAGGGACTCCTTGTCTGGGGCTGAGATGCAGCCACCTCTGGGGTGGGGCTGACTGGGGAAAAAGGGGAGGGGCCAAAACAAATCCCATGGACCAAATTTTAAAGGTTTTTATTGTAGTTTATTTCTTTCCACGGTATCATCTGCTTTTTGAACAGCGTTTTCCCCCTCGTCATCCCAAATGGGCACGTGACGGGCGGGGTGGCCCCGTGGGAACTGACGCTCGGAGCAAGGGGGTTGAATAGAGGGGCAGGTACACTTCAGAAGGTTGGGGGCTGCTTTGAGGGGTGCTGGCTTGAAACACTGGCACGATCTTCCCCCTACGCCTCTGATTCCCCTTCTCCCCCTGCCGGGGGGCAGATCCTTGCTTTGAGTCCCGGGGCTCTTGCAGTGTGGAATCAGTGTCCATTGTTTGCCCCGCCGATCTGTCTCCTGTGCTGCACGGCGCTCCCTACTGCCATGCTGGGGCCCGGAGGCCAGCCCAGACTGCTCGGGGAGAGACCCCCCGCCTTGCAGCCCAGCGTCCCCTGGTGGGCGTGCCATCGCCCTGCACAGCTCAATTCCTGCCCGCTAGATGCCGCTAAGACATGGCGGGTTCTGTCTACACTAGCTTGAGAGGGGTTGCAACCAGCTTTAGCGTGTGGGCTATATGCAAAGGCTGTTGCTTGGGCTGGGTTGAATTGACAGTGTTCCCGAGCCCGGCATTGGGGTCAGCAGTGACTCGTGGGGAGAGCGCCCCTGTTGCCCCGGTGGTGTCAGTGTGCTCTGTCCCCCCCTGCTGGCTGACCCTCGTAGGGCAGTTTCGGAGTCGGCCCAGCATGAAGCAAATGGACCTGGCTTATCATCAGCTCCTCGACCCCGTCGGTGGGGGGAAACAGGGCTGCGCGGGGTCAGCTGGCACAGCATCCTCCCCTGCCCCGAGCCTTTGGCCAGCAGCCACTCCGGGTCCTGGCCTGCAGGGCCTCCAGGTGGCTTAGCCGTTGTCTGCGCCAGAGAGCCTGCGCCTGGGGGTGGGGCTCTCGCGGGGGCAGTATTGGCTAGTGGTTAGAGCAGGGAGGCAAGATTCCTGGGTTCTGTCCCAGGCTGTGGGAACGGAGTGGGGGTCTGGTGTGCTGGGGTGGGGCTGTTGGGAGGCAGGACTCCTGGGTTCCATCCCCGGCTAGTCAGGTAAACTAGTGGTTAGAGCAGGGGGAGGATTTAGAGCCGAGCTACTACACTAAGCGTCTCTCAGGCATTGCCTCTCTGTGCCTCAGTTTCCCCCTCTGCAGTATAGCAAGAGGATGATACAGCTGCATCCCTGCAGGCCTATGTGACTGGGGCGGGAGGGGGGAGCTGGTTACGAGCAGGGACTCCCTCCCTGGGAAGCTGGATGCTAGGGGAGGGGGAAGCTAACACTCCTTTGAGCTGGGCCCTATGGCTGTGGGGGGAGGAGGGCTGTGTGGGTCCCCCCCCCGGTAGTTGGCTGGATGGGGTGCAGGAGGGGCCAGAGAAGCAGTCACGGTGTGCATGGGGGGGACGGACGATCACAGGGGTGGGGGGTTTGCATAGATTACAAGCGTTCCCCGGCCCCTGGGGCAAGCGGTGTGGGAGGGACTCTCCTAGGGAGCGGGGGAGCTGGCGGGAGGGGCCGGCGGGTTTAGAACCCACTCCCGCTCCCCTCCACGTCCTCCATGAAGACGGAGCGCTTGCGCAGGCCGCGCCGGAGGAGGCCGCTGGCCGGGCAGGGCCCCCGGGGGCTGCCGGCTTTGGTGGAGTCCGGCTCCTCCGAGCTGTCCCCGTCCTCGGGCAGCGGGTCGGCGTCGGAGCCTGTCAGGCTCAGGCACGGGCAGGGCTCCCGGGCGGCCACAAAGGAGTCACCCCAGATGTTCTCGCAGAGCTCCCTGCCGTCCCGGTACATCTGGGGGGCAGAGCGAGGGGAGAGGTTGGGGGTGAGATCTGGGGCCTTTCTCCTCTAGGGGGCGCTGGATCCTATCCAGCCCTGGGGCAGGGGGACCGGCTGGCTCAGGGGGTGGGGAATGGGACCCGGGGAGATGACTGGGATATGGGGAGGAGAAGTTGAATCTCAGACCAAACCCCTCTGCCAGTCTCGGAGCACAGAGAGGGAGGGAAGCTCACGCTCCATCTCCAGGTATGGGCTCTGGGCCAGAGGGGCACCCCTTGGTGGTGGGGGCCCTATGGCGATGGCTGGGCGGTGCCAGCTGCTGGCAGCTCCCCCCACCCCAGCCCCCTGACCTGCTGCCCAGGCTGTGGGCACATGGGGATTAGGTGCCCTCAAGAGTGGGGATCTCTATCCCCCTCAATTCACCCAGCCCCCTCTATCCATCCCGCCTAGGACAGCACCCTGTGGGTTTATCCCTCTGAGCCAGCCAGCCAGCCCCCCGCCCTGGGGCTGGATCGGAGCTGGCGCCCTCTGGAGGGGACAGGCCCCGTGTCCCATTCCACCCCCGAGTGCCATGAGTTGGACGGGTCTCAGCCCAGCTCTGAGGTGCCTGTACCACAGAATCCGCCTGTCCCTGTTGGTGCCAACCCAGGGGCCTGAGCAGGGCCGCTGAGCCGGAGCCTGAGTCCACCACTTCCCCCCCTCCCTGTAGGGAGGCCCCCCCTGGCCTCCCCCCTGGCAGGGCTGAGCCAACCCCCTCCCCCGGCAGCAGAGCCCCCTCACCTGGCTGTAGGGAACACAGTCCTGGCTGCAGTTGTTCCCCTGGGGACCCCACTGCCAGTCACTCACCCAGTTGCGGGCACAAGTCAGGTCATCCTTGCAGGCTTCATACCTGGGGGAGAGGTGAGAAGGGGGGACAGGCTGGGATGGAGACAGACTAGGGGGCTGTTCAGCTGGGGTGTTACAGGGCAAATCTCTCCCCATGTTGCCCCACATCAGACCCCTGGGTCCATCCAGCCCAGTAGCCCAGCTTTGCTGCTGCACTCCAGCTCCCTGCAGCAGGGAGTTCCACCAGTCCACCATGCTGCATTAAAGGGGCGGTTCCCCACAGGTGGGAGAGACCTTCAGACTGACCCATCCTGGAGCTTGTCGTGGGGACTGGATTCTCTTTTCCCCTTGGCCATTGCTGCCTGGAGTCACAGGTGAACTCGCACCCTCCCTAGGAATAGCCTGGCTCCCAGCACCCCCCCCCCACTCTAACCACTAGACCCTGCTTCCCTCCCAGAGCCAGGGATAGAACCCAGGAGTCCTGGCTCCCCCTCCCCCAACCACTGGACCCCACTCCCCTCCCAGAGCCAGGGGTAGAACCCAGGAGTCCTGGCTCCCAGCCCGCTGCTCTCACCCAGTCAGGAAGGTGCGGGAAGGCGCACTGACTTACCACGCCTCACAGAAGCTCAGGCAGAGGGGCACCTCCAGGACGGCTGTGGGGCGCTGGGGGTGGGGCCAGCGGGCGGCCCTGGGGGAGCAGCGGTAGAAGCATTCAACCCGCTGCAGGTAGTGCTCGCACCTGGGGGCAGAGAGCGGGGATTAGAGGGGGGAGCCCCACAGGCGGCCTCTGGGGCACAGTGGCTGCGCCTTGAGCCGTGCACTGGCAGGATGCTGCAGGGAGTGGGGCGGAGGCTTAGCAGGGGGCGCTATCCCCCAGCAGGCAGTGCTGGCCTCAATGCCCCAGGGTGACACTAGGGGGCGCTGTGGGGCGGGGCCTCAGCCGGCAGTGCTCCCTCTCAGTGCTGACCCCAGGGTGGCACTAGGGGGCGCTCTGCTGCTGGTGGCCCCATCTGTTTAGGTTGGGCTAGAACTTAGGTCTTTGCAACCCTTGGCTTCTAGGCTAGAATTTCAAATTGAGACTGTGACGACATCCACCAGCAGGGCACTGCTGCGGGGAAGCTCACAGCCGGGGGTAGCTGGGTGCTAGCAGGGCACTGCTGCGGGGAAGCTCACAGCCGCGGCAGGCAGAGGGAGGGGTCAGGCTGTCTTACCTG